ATGTGACGACAAAGTAACAACACAAAAGACGTCTGGATCTTTTACTTGCAAGGAGAGAGTGCAGCTTGCTCTGCTGGCAGCTTCCTCATCAACTCCGAGTTGCTGCACCCTTCCTCTGCTCTTTTATTTAGTTTACAAAAGTATCAGATTACATATCATGTGATCGTGTGTGAGTATATGAATGGGTATGGAGTAAGAAGGTGGGTGTGAATGTGAGTGTGGCTGTGTCTGGTAATTTCTCCATCAGTCTTGAGCACACTAGATTATAATATGAGAAGCAAACAGTTCCTTAAAGCGACAGTACAGCATGAAGCAATGATAATAAATTAACTTCTTCCAACAATATGGATTTCATTGAACTCAATAAAAGTGAAGGACAGAAATACTGTCGAGTCATAGTGGATGCCTTTTCTAAATGGATAGAATTGTTCCCATCAAAAGTTGCTGATGCTATTACAGTGGCAAAAGCATTGGTCAAAAAGATTATACCAAGATTTGTGACAATAGAAATTATTACATGAACCAAGTCATGTCAAGCATAAGCCAAAAGATGAAAATAAATTTAAAACACCACTGTGCTAAAAAAACAAAACAAAAAAATTCTAACTCTATGCCAGATGCACCTACATCTTTGCAGAGTGACGGTACGCCAATCCAGGTCGGCGACTGGGTGCTGATAAAGGTCATAAAAAGAAAGTGTTCGTCGAGTCCAAAGTAGGAACTCCCATACCAGGTCCTGCTGACGACGCTTACGGCCATAAAGACTGCTGAATGACCATCTTAGATTAATCTTTCGCATTGCAAGAGACAGAGGTTCTTGGTACAGGATCCAATTGGTTGAGGGGAAGTCCGACTACAAAGGGGTGTACTTATATAGAAGCTATACGTCTCAACATTGGTGAAGCAGGGAGATCCTCAGCCATTTAGCGTGATTACTGTATTGGGCTAACCATAGTCCTACAGACATAAGATGATGGACAAGAGAGTGAAGTGCTGGTAACCTCTCCTCTCAAAATTATGACGACAAAAGATACTCGACCCAAGCCAAAACCATGGCACCCATTCCACAGATTGGGTATTTCACAGCGACTCTCTGTGTGCATACTGATAATCATAGGGGTCGTCTTGATACTACCCATCATATTAATCCTGGAAGAACCATTGAGGAACAACACCACCACTAACCACCCTTCAACGATGAAAGATCCAGAACAACACCATTCACACAAGAGAGTAAAAAGAGAAAACACTGAAGCAAGGAATGATTCTAAATGTTTAAATAACTATGGTGGTATTACTCTTGAATATATTAGCCCGATGTGAACAGAATCGGCTGCCCGTAGAGGATCATGAACATGATAGTAGGATATGGTAGGATATGGTAGTAGGATATACAGGTCAATGGATTCCCACAATGTCAGATAAAAATGTGTACAGAGACAAAGACATTTGGAATCAATTGAAAATCCAACGTGATTTTTCCAACACCCAAAATCCGATCACTATGTCCCTGAATTGGACTAAATTACCAACGGGGAGTAATTGGAAACTTTCTGGTAAAACAAATCAAACTGAAAACTTATATATTTGGTCCTTGGAGTAGATAAGACTGGAGTAGATCTAATGGGATTCATTAGAGTAGTAATTAGGAATGAAATAACGAAACATGACAACTTTGTTGACACCTGTAACTCAATCTTTCCACCAATTTCTAATAAAACTAAAACAGGAGCATTTACTCCTCATAAAGGCAAAGGAGACTATGTGTGCTATGAAAATGAATGTGTTATGAAAAACCTAGCCTAAGGAGCCATAATGCAGGATTATGAGAATTTGGCATTCATCAATGATAAACAGGAAGGAAATGTTGGAAGAATTTAATTTATTATCATTGCTTCATGCTGTACTGTTGCTTTAAGAAACTGTTTGCTTCTCATATTATAATCTAGTGTGCTCAAGACTGATGGAGAAATTACCAGACACAGTCACACCCCCATTCACACCCACCTTCTTACTCCATACCTATTCATATACTCACACACGATCACATGATATGTAATCTGATACTTTTATAAACTCAATAAAAGTGCAGAGGAAGGGTGCAGCAACTCGGAGTTGATGAGGAAGCTGCCAGAAGAGTAAGCTGCCCTCTCCCTTGCAAGAAAAAAATCAAGATGTCTTTTGTGTTGTTACTTTGACGTCATATATGTTAGAATAAACCTGACACCTTGAATTTCTTTTATTTATGTTCATAAATTTAGTTTGTTTCCCAGACCAAATGTTTAATTTTTAGCTTTTCAAAAGTTAATACCATCTGTAAAATAACAATAATGACTTCCACTATGAATCAATCAAATCAAATCAATGAACAGTCACTTGTTATACCCTGAATATGTGAGAGACTTCACATCTGGAAGATAGAATCATTGACAAGACTTGTTGAAGCTAAAAACTTAACAGTACAATTACATTTATCAGTTACTTGTTAAAAATGCAGAAAATGTGCAGCAATCACTCACACGACTGTCCTTCATCTGCAGGGTGTGTCTGACGGTGCTGCCGCTGTCATCATTGCCAGTGAAGATGCTGTGAAGGAGCACAAACTCAATCCTCTGGCCAGGTTGATGTCCTACCACCCGTCCGGCTGTGACCCAAGCATCATGGGAATCGGTGAGACAAAAGGCTGCGGTGCTTTTAAGGAAAACATGAGTAATGAATTGTTGCGACGTTGACAGTAACAGTGTCTGGTTTTGCCCTGAACATCTAAGGTCCTAGATTTTACCAGGACTAGTTTTGGTTTTACTGCTGATGTTGTCATGTAGGAATATATCGTTGATTTAGGGGGGGTAAAATAAACTTGGTTGGGGTAGCTGAAATGAAGAGGCTGAGATTTTCATTAGTACTGAGTTTGTATACTTGTTTTACTAAAATATTTTTGTGGGGGATTTGTTAAATAAGAGAATGTAACAATAAGAATTAGTAATCATGATTCCAAGTACGGCTTAGAGCAGGGGTCGTCTTAGAGCATCGGTCGGCAATCCGCGGCTCCAGAGCCGCACGTATTATTTCATCCTTCTGTTGTGGCTGCCTGTGACTTTGAAAAATAAATAATGAGTATTTAATTAAATTTTTTTTTATTTTAGTTTGTTCTTTTTAAAATATAATTCTAAATTTGAAGATTATGATAATCTTGTAACATGTTTTTTGTCGCTCAAAATATGCGTTACATCTGCCGATGTGCGACACCCGGCACATATCTGGCAGCGCGGATTTATCCAGCACCTACACCACCAGCGTGATTTATTGAGCTTATCGACCCCTGTTAGGTAAATGATGGATAAATCATAAAAAAGAAAAGTTTCTGAAGAAAACAGAACGTTTAATGCTACATGGGCAGATTCATTTGCTTTCACTGCTAAAGAGACTGGTTCGTTCTTGCTCAGAATCGCAGATGGAGTAACATTGAAAACCTTCCCAAACCAGAGAAACTAGAGTTCGAACCATGGAATGCCATTCTCGACACTTACATGAACATGAAAAGGTATGCATTTGGCAATCTTCGGATCTACATACACATACTGTATGTAAGCAGGTCTTCTCCCACACGAACTATATTAAAAACAAACATCGCTCACGCCTCACAGACATCAGCTTAGGCCGGGCATACACTGTACGATTTTTGCAAAACTTGTCATTGATACCATCACACACTGTACGAGTAATCGTCTACGTTGTACGGCCAAAGCTCTGTTCTCTGCAGCAGTTCATTGATTTCATAAATGCAACACACTATAGTTTTTTTATACAAAGTGTATAACACAGCTGTAAGTGTAAGATGTACACTTACAGCTGCGTTGCCTTCATATAAGGCGTATATAAGGCTTTTAATTTTTTGCGGCTCCAGACAGATTTCTTTTTTTTGGTCCAATATGGCTCTTTGAACATTTTGGGTTGCCGACCCCTGGCTTAGAGTATTGTGCCTGAACAAGATAGGTCAACCACGTGGTTCGAAATATCTTGCTGTAAAAAGGGTGGAAAAAAGAAAAAAGAATAAACATGATGAAAACTGGGCCGTACAATAACAAAATCTTACTTCTGTAAATGTCTTAATTTACACCAAAATTAGTGGTTTTGTTTTGGTTTTTTTTGCAAATAACTAATCTTTTTGGGACGTTTGTTAAAACCAAATATTACATATGTGGTGCCCGCTGATAAAAAGCTTCGTCCTTTTTGTGTGTAACTGAGAAAAGAAAATTTGTATTTAGAACTACAATGACCACGCGTAACATTTATTACGCTGCGTAATGACGCCATCGTCATCTTCCGGCGTCAATATAACCGTAACATCCCCGGATGTCGGTCTTTTTTTCATAGCTAAGGTAAGTTTGCCCTGCTTTTGAAAACGAGTGGGAATAAAATCTATATTAATCGTTCCTTTACAGTCATGCTTAATATGCACAAATGTATGGATATGAAAGTGTTTGTTTAGATGAAGAGCTAGACATCTTTATTGCGTTGGATTTTCAATTATTTGGCTTAAAATACGGAACAGTTAATAAAACGGTTACGCAAGGCCGCCGGTTAGCTTTAGCGTTACGCGTAATGCTACCTAGCAGGCTATAAACGTGTTGCCCTATGTTTCATTTGTTTGTAGTTGACTACGGTTTCTTGTAATTTAAACCGCTGTTTAAAATGGTGAAGTGTGTATATCTGCAATACAATGACAGTCTGCTATTTCAACGACCCTACTGTCAATAATTAGCCCAATGCTAATATTTGACATGCCTTTGCTTGCCGATAACCACGATCTTGAACACGAAGGTTACTAGTCTTCCTAAATAACTGTTGCACTAGTATTACGTTGCTTATTTAAACCCGTCATACGCTTGTATAGCTAGAACTTTATTAATCCCTTGAGAGTTCCCTTAGTAATGCTTGTCTGTGAACCCAAATTTCCCTTTCTGCTTTGAACCGAATACAGTGTTGTAGAGCCAGAGTTGAGGTTGTCATACTATTGTGTAATGTACTGTTTCTAAAAAAATGTAATGTTTCTTTTTCATTAATTCACATGACAATACTAAAACCTGGAAACGTTTGTTGTTCTCATTTAAAGATGGCAGAGGGAAACAAGAAGACTGCCAAGAAAAGGCATGGGAGCCGGAACCCGGTTCTGGCCCGGGGTATTGGCCGGTACTCCCGCTCTGCCATGTACGCCCGACGGGCTATGTACAAGCGCAAGACCAAGACAACTGAGACCAAGGTGAGTTTAATATCAAGTCAAATGTGACAAGATTTTGATGATGGAAGTTATTCTAAGTTTTTTTTTTTTTTGTTTGTTTTTTTTCCTCGTTTCAGGTTGAGAAAAAGCTCAGAATTAAGCCCAAGGCCACAGTTGTCAAGACTGTTGGAGGTGACAAAAATGGAGGCACTCGTGTTGTCAAGCTGCGCAAGTTGGTATGTGATTTTGCTGTTAGAGCTACAGATGTGATCATATTAAACACATGTTTTTGTGTGGTCTAAAATACAGATGATTGTTGGTTTTCCCATGTTGCAAGTCTGTGTGCTGTCAACTTTAGCAGTTTGATTTGATTGAACATTAGACTCCACTTTAGGAAAAAAAAAAGTCGGGTTTGGCAGTGTCATGAAGGTTGTACAGGGTTCTAACTAACTGTATGTCTAGTGAATTGTGAGCTGCATGGTGGTAGCAGATGGCCAAAGAGGAAGTAATGCAACCATAGGTTTGACATTGTCTCATAATGCTTGTTTAAATACTGAGGGCATTATATTGTAAACAAAAACTAAATATGATTATTACCAGGTTGGAGCCAGTTGTGACTTAAAAACAGATGCACCAAAGTTATATATAAACTTTTTTTTTTTTTGTAGCCCCGCTACTACCCCACAGAGGACGTTCCCCGCAAACTGAAAAGCCATGGGAAGAAGCCTTTTTGCCAACACAAGAGGAACCTGCGCTCCTCCATCACCCCAGGAACTGTACTTATCCTGCTCACTGGTCGTCACCGTGGAAAGGTGAGCTGAGGGGAGGGGCATGGCAATGAAGAGGTTCTGTTGCTTATCATATTGGATCAGCTTGGGACCTGTTCTGTGGTTATTGTTGGGGTCTAAAAGTCTGATTGTCAATGTTGGTGTCAACAGGTGTCAGCCCAATGTTGTAAAGAAGTAAATCTTAATCAAACCAATAGTTTCTTGGGGAGAGGACTTTATTTTTTTTCCCCCCATAAAATTAAAACGTGTGCATGTCAGTTTGGGAGGGAACTGTGATCATGTGTGCATACTTAATGTTGCTTATTACATCCATCCATGATAGAAAATAAAAATTCAACAGGGGTTGAAGGTTGTCACTCTACTACAGTCTGTACTGTAAAAGTTGAAAACAAACCTGTGGTGATTCTGTCTACAAATATATAACTGATTTAATTTAGCACACTCATTTACTATTGTAGACTTTATTTCAATAGAAAGCTTAATTATTTTAATTGTTGGTTTCATTGAGCACATTTAAAAATTGATAAAGAACGTTGTGCTGCCCATAGTGAGGCTTCTGTAATTATGCATAAAAATATCACAGAGGACACATTGTAAGCTCAATATTGGAATAATTACAAACCAGGTACTGCAGCCATTCACTCCTACTCTCAAATGCTGCACAGCTCAATTATGAAGTATGTACTGTTTGCCCACACACTGTCGTATGTCGGCAGATTTTTCTGCCCTATAATATTTAAATTTCAGGATTTTTATTTTTGTATTCAAAGAATTTTGAGATGAAAGAAATTGTTTAGGCCATCTGTAAAAATATTTAAAATGTATTTCAGTGCTGTACCTGGACATTTTGTGAAACCATTATAACTGGACTTTTTTTTTTTATAAATCCTAGCGTGTGGTGTTTCTGAAGCAGCTTGCCAGTGGTCTCCTGCTTGTCACTGGTGAGTAAAGTTTTGGTGGTCAAGATATATTTACAAACATCAGCACCAGTAACTACAGAACACATTATTTAAAGTGCTCAAATTTTTTTATTTTTTTATTTTTCTTCAGGCCCTCTCGCTTTGAACAGAGTCCCCCTGCGCAGAGCTCACCAGAAGTTTGTCATTGCCACCAAAACCAAAGTTGACATCTCTCGCATGAAGGTCCCCAAAAATCTTAACGATGCCTACTTTAGGAAGAAGAAGCTGAGGAAGCCCCGTCATCAGGAGGGAGAAATCTTTGATACAGAGAAAGAGGTTAGTTTTGTGTGTTTTTTTTTTTTTTTGGGTGACACGATTTCAAATGAACTGTGACTGTCAGCTAAATGGTTCATCATGGTATTTGTCATTTACAGAAGTACCAGTTGACAGAGGAGAGGAAAGCAGACCAGAAAGCAGTTGATGCACAGCTCCTGCCTCTCATCAAGAAAACACCTCAGCTGGCAGGATACCTGCACACTACTTTCTTCCTGTCAAATGGAGTCTTTCCACACAAGCTGGTTTTCTAAATGTGTTGTAATAAAGAGTACCACCATCTAATGACTATGTGGTTTGTTTTGTAATGTAGATGCAAGTAATACTCAACTTAAGTAGTAAATGTTCTAAAGGTCAAAAGCTGAAGTACTGATGTTTTCATTAGAGCTGGGCAACAGCAGAGTTTTTAATGTGAGCCTTTGACCTTGTCTTTCATACCTGTAACTTTTTAGCTCCCGTATGTTTTCTTTATTCATGTTTCATCTGTCTCTGGGTTGCAGGGAGCCGATCCAGTGGTTGGTTGAGGCTGTGTTTCTTGATTTTTAAGAAACAAGGGGTTGAATGAAAGTTGTTCATTCAACCCCTATCATCAGCTGCCAGGAAAGCTCCAGGCAATGCAGTGCAACCTGTGTGTGGGGGGGGGGGGGGGGGGTACATCTGCAGGATCTGCTAACTGACAATTTGGAGATGGAGAAATACTGTTGATTCCACTTTAATTTATGGTCAAATGAGAGTCTGGAGAGTCATTTTGGAATGTCTGAAATACACCATGTAGCCCAGCAAGGTTTTTATGGGCTGGAACATTTGCCAACATTCCTTGGGGTTTCCAAATCTGAAAAGGTACTATACTTTGTAGATGTATGCTGTTGCAAAAACAATTCTCACTTGGATTGATAATGGCTGAAACCAGCATTGATGGAGCACTTGAATTGTGCTGAACTTGTTGTAGAACACAGTAACAAAATCCACTCTTAACCTGTTTGAAGACTTTCTTACCAGTAGTATGAATATTTCCAAACCTACACCATGTAGTAAAACAGAACACAAAACCAAATATTTCATCTCTCTAATGATGTAATTCTAAATGTTCTAATTGAGGTCAATGTACATTTGAGTGGTTGTTTTCTTTTAATGTTAGCTTAAGTTTTTTTATTTTATTTTTTATTAGGGGCAGTGGTGGCTTAGGGGTTAAAGAAGCAGAATTGAGTCCAGAAGGCTCCTGGTTGATGTCCACTAGCTGCCAAGTTACCACTGAGGTGCTCTGAGCATGGCACTATCCCCACACACTGCTCCCTGGGTGTTTATAAGCTGCCCACTGTTCACTTTGGTGATGGGTTAAAAACAGAGGTCAGAGGTGTGTGCTGTCACAATGACAATTCACTTTCTTATTTTTAGGTTTTACATTTCTAGTTTTTCTACATCTAATCAAGAGTTCTCTGCACAAGATGCATTTGGAACACCTGAAATTATCATCTAGCACGTGCACCATGTGACTATTGGTGTGGACGTTGTAGAATTAGGGCGGATTCTGTGTCAGTCTGAGGAAGAGTTCTGTTCAACAACATTCTTGAAAAGAGAATCTTCAGGTTTATCAGTCCCATTCCCTGGAATGACCAGATGATGCTTTCATCACCATCATGTCGTGCACTCAAAGAACAGACATGTAAACATCTATATGAAGCATTGTGGAGAAAAGGTGAAGTAATCACGCCAGAGATTGGACCCAGACAGCTTAACAGCTATGCTTTAATTAACAAAATGACATGTAACAAGACAAAAATAAATATGTGTTATCTCTTCAACATGGACATGCTTGTCTTAAACCTTATAAACAGAACAAAGTAGAAAGCAGCACAGAAAAAGGCAGCAGCCTCTTGCCAAGGAATGATAAGTGCCTTTGTCAATTCAGTCAGTACTGTATGCATGGTCAGCTGGTGCGGAGGTGGAAAAGCATGTTAACCTGATTTGAACAGCAGAATGGCCACCTGACCCAAGTAGAAGTAAATGAAATGCTTGGTCTCGTGGGTCACGTAGCTGCCGAAGTTTCTCCCAACGATGCAGTGCCAGGTCGGGTTGTATTTCTTGTCAAACTCCTGTGTTTTGGAGAAAGACATATTGGTCTCAGACACTGGTGGAAGAACACACGGCTGAGCCAAAAAAAGTAGAGTTGAACAAAGCAAGTATTGGATGTCAGAAATATATTGAGAAAAAAAAAAAAAAAAAAAAAGAGGCATGTTTGATTCCCAAATAATTCCAAATGTTCAATAAGAACATATCTGGGAATGTCTTGTACAGTAATTTAAAAGTGAAGCTTTCAAATGTTGAGGGTTTATGTTTAACCCCATGACAGACATGTCCGACCTGTCAATCACAGCAGGCTTGGTTGCCTCAGATTATTACCGAAGCTTTGAGCAGCAAGTAATCCAAGTAATTGCAACGAGACTCTTATTATGATCCATTTTGATGAGGCTAAAAGGTCATGGACAAATCAGACAATTAAACTAAATTGCAGTTCTAAAACAGGGGCTTTTATTTTGAAACTTCTTTAGTTTAGTGTAAAACCAGTTCTTAGATGTACTACTACTATATCATAACTTTTGGAACTTTTCGTAGAACCTGAGTATTGATCCTACAAAGGCCCTGACTGGATTGAGAACCCTCCCCTAACCAGAACAAGAATTCCATCATGGAATATATGGAATGCTGCACGTTTCCTTTGGAAATACCAGCATGGATGTGGAACACCATCAGCGACCGGACATTTACTCTGTTTTTCCGTCATTTACACCCATAAAATTCACTGGCACGTGATCGTTTAAAATGTATGCCTGCAGTTGTACCTTCTTGATGTAAGCAGCGATGTCTTTCTCGATGTTGTACTTCTCCAGGGCCTGAGTGGCGCACTCCACGGCGTCCTGCTGCATGTCCTCCGACATGTCAGCGTTCTTGATCACTGCCTTTCTGTCAGACATGGATGCTCTGGAAACCAAAACACAGCGGAAGATTCGTCATCATCTTCACACAGAGCATCTTTTTTTAATCACAAACACACGTCAAGCTCAGCTATTCCAGTTGAGGACAGCGCGCGAATCTGTAATCGATCTGTCTGACCATCGATAGTCGATATCGGAGCTCTGATCACGTGATCATAATGAGAGCTTCAGGAATGAGGTTCTGTTTTTAACAAAGTCTGTGTTTGTTCCTTAAAACTAATAGAGAGAATAGAGAATAGAGAGAATTACAGTCACACGCGGACTCCCAGCATCCTCCCCTCTTATCGACACAGCCACTGGATATGATGCTTGCGCACCGCCAGGGTTCTAGTCCGATAGAGAAGAATAAAGGAAACCGTTGGTTCACGGACCGTGGAAGTTATTACACAAGTGTCAAATCAAATGTGAAGTTGCCTTTTCTTTAAGTGTTGCATAACAACAACCGTTCGCGTCGATGCGTACTTTTAACTGGGCATTTGCACGCCTTTAGTGACAATTGTCAACGTTCGTATATTTTACATATAATAATAAAAGTAATTGAACAATGTTGCTGCGATATATCAGAGTTTAACGCAGTCTACTCTTTGCGTTAAAACTACACGCAAACCATAACATAACGTTTGGTTAGGAGAGGACTTCGAAGCGCTGGCTGCTAACAGCATCGCCACATGCGCAACTAAGGGATGGTGAAGCGCCGCAGCTCATTCATCCTGCAAAATAAGGGGAAAACGCGCACGCAGTTCACATTGTACGATATATTCACAATGGGTAAAAGAGATATGGTTGAATAAAGCGTACGTTAACCGTCGGACTTACCCGGTTAGTGTTGCGTTGACGGTATTTGAGGTTTGAAAGAGAAGCCTGCAGCTATAGCGACAACTCCCGCGAACTGGCTGACACAAAAGTGATGAGGGTGTATCGCTCAGAGGCTGCATCTGTGCCTTTATGTTATTGGCCAATATTAATGCACGCTGTGATCTGATTGGCTGGATTCGACCCGTTTTTCTGCTGTTTCTTTCTGCATTTTATTTCCAACCGTGATGCTTTGCGCGACACGTCGTTGTCGAGGTAACCATAGTAAACAGCTTCACGGCCGACTGCACCTACTGTAAGCGATGTACACATAGTAGAGGAATAAATGCAGTACATACACAGCAGCGGACACTGGACTTCTAAGCACCGTGGCTTTATTTAGAAAGCTGACCTTGCTGCAATTTATACAAACCTTTTTTTGTTAAATTCCCGAAACCAGATATTGTTAAGGCCCCAACAAACAGTGACACAATTATGAATTTTAATTTTATGAATCATATCAGAAGGGAATGATAGGCGGTCACGAAGTACTTGTCAAAACCTAGGATCAAAACAGGACCCCATAATTTATGTAAATTACAATTTTTTTGTTTATTTAACTGTAATTTAATTTGTAAATGTCTTGTTTTAAAACGTAATTGTAAATAGTATAATTGTACAATAATAAATATGTGAAATTTATGAAATTTTATTAAAATGTATAAAATATGTGAATTTTATCACCTCTGCTGCAGTAGTCCCTGTATAGGAATCCCTTCTTTTCTGTGTAGTATTCTAATTAAGAGTTTGAGCATTCACGTTTGAAGGCATCGTGGTAAAAAAAAAATAGACTTAAGGACAGATTTAAAACTTAAGGAAACGGAACAAAAACAGGAAACTCCCAACATTCCTACAACAAATGATGCTGAGGTTAGAATTTACAAACTTTAACCACAAAGGGCTATTGTGTTTTTTTCTCCTTTTACTTATTTAGTATTTTCTAACTATCCTCTTCATTGAAAACACACATTTCCATCTAATATTCTTAAGCAGTTTTCTCATCCTTCATATAACAAAGGATCTGTGTTCAGTGTCTGACCACAGATCCTATTGCGCCATTACTCCTCATAGGCCACACCCCTACAAATTTCCATGATGGCACTTTACTTTTAAAATGTATTTTAAACAGAATCGATCAGAATGTGAGGTAATGTAGAAATGTTATTAGGAAAAAACGACAAGACACTTTTCTTCCCCTCCTATTTATTTGACACATTTCACACAGGGATAACAGGTTTCTTCAAAAATCCACTCTTTTCAATATTTTTTTTCATTTGCGTCTAAACTCCAAACTGACTATTCTTAAAGCTACAGCTCCATGTTTTGTAGCTTACACTAGCTGCCTCACAGTTAACTACGTGTTACATTTATATACCTCTACTCCTAAATGCCCTGGTGTTAGCACTCAACATGCAGTACACATCCTCTCCTCACAATCGC